ACCAGACACAAACAAGGATTGAAAATCACTGGAACCCTAAAACTTTTAGCCTTAGGGTCAGTTGTGTTTTTAACAACATTCTCTTAGTAACCATTGTTCTTCCTTTGTTTATCCAACTTACAAGGAGAACATATCCTCAATGCATGATGGGCCAAAGTGGAAATCAGATTTGATTTCTGGGACTTAGTAATGAAAGAATTCCAATTTGTGTACAGACCAGTAAATGTAGGCTTGCAATAAACCTTTCATTCCAATCAACCAGCTTAGCCAAAAAAGATAACACTGAGTCACTCTCCATGTCAATGGCAGACTGAAAGGACAGATGAAGGAAATTAAGTTGTAAATAGAATGCCTCAGCCTCCTCCATTGAATCAAATACAGAAAAAGTATTGTATACATAAGGCTTAGGGTATCATTCAAATAGAAGGTTTTCATAGAAACCAACAAAAATATTAGTAAAAACAGGACCCAGGGGGCTGTCCATCGAGACTGCATTGATCTGAGCATATGTAATATCATCAAAACTAACTTCTACCCTCTCCATGGCTAAATGCATAAATTCCAGAAACAAGTTTTCGGGAATGCTAGGAGGACCCAGGTGTCCTCTATAAGGAGCATCAGTGTAGGGTTGTAAAGTGTTTATATAAGAAGGTATCCATGTATTTTTCTTGTGAAGTGTTGGTTGAAAAAGTGTCCTTTAAAGAATGCATTTTTGTATATTTAAGGCAATATACAAATTTTGTGGTGTCAAACTTCTGTTTATATATATATATATATATATATATATATATAATCCAATATTACCAAACTCAATTAAATTATGATATTTGTATATGTAATTTCACATTTGTAAGTATAAGGCTAGGTTCCAAACACATTGGATATATAGTCTCAACCTGTTGTTATACTCATTTATTCCATTAGACAGTACTATGTGATAACTATGGTATTTTATGCATAAAAAGGAGAGTTATCTCCATTGACACCTAACATATTTACTTATTTTCAAATTTTATTTAAAATAATTTTAATTTTTTTCATTTTAATTATTCCTCTTTGAACTTACAAATTTGTATGATATAAATTATAACTAGTTAATTATAATATTTTACAGATCAATAATTAAATAAACAACTCTTAACCTGCAATTTTAAATCATCACCACATATATATAGGGTTTGAAAGTTTTCAGCCCAATAAGCCCTTACCACTAAAAATGTTATATGGGTATCCACTAAAAATAGCATTTAAAGTAATAAAAAGAAGAAAAAAAATATAAATATATATATATATATATATATATAAAATGTGCATGTCTATGATTTATTCAAATACATACATACATATATATGCACATACGTATGTGCATATATATATATATATATATATATATATATATATATATATATATGCACATACGTATGTGCCTGTGATAATCATGCATCACTATCCATTAACATGTGTGTGTGTGTGTGTGTATATATATATATATATATATATATATGAGAGAGTGTGAGGAGACAGAAATATATATGTTTATATGAGAGAAATACAAGATCAAACGATTCAGTCGTATGTTAGAATACTGCAGTGTGGAAGATGATAGAGGACCCTTATTTTATGAGGCCACTATCAGCTCTGCTTTTCTCCGACCCAGATTCACCTGTTTATAGAGAACTGGACATATGGAAACACTTTTGTCATGTTGGTCACATGCCGTCTCTAGCAACTCCCCCTGAAAAAGCAGAATGTTGCAGTGTAGATATGTCGGCGGGCATAGTATCTATTAACTGATTTAAGCTTGATAGCATCTCATTAGTAACCGAATAGTATTGTGTATGGAAAACACATTTTTCTTAATGACTAAGTTGGCAGCATTTCTACAGTAAGTCAGATAGGATGTCAGTTTTGGACCAATTTCAACAAACAGATGAATTTTACCTTGATAGCAAAAAAGAATAACCATTTTTTATTTATTTATTTATTTTTTTAAAGCATATTTTGGCAGAAAAAAAACTAATAATGAATAAAAAAAAAAGAGAAAAAAAGGAAACAATAACCTAGTGAATTAAAGCGTTGGTTTATAAATTTGGTTACATAGTAGTTGAGAGTTCAATCCCTGGGCCAGGCAGTTCAAGCTTAGACTTAGAAAAAGGCCTAGCAATAATTGAGCAGTACTAGAAAAAAAAAAAAAAGAACAAGATGAGATATCCCTAGACTTGGGCAGAGGAATGAGAACAATCTACCCCGTGGATTAAATTAAGGGTTCAGTTTGAACATCCCTGAAGGTTATGCACATCAACAGATGCTTGAAGAAGCCTGGAGAGTGTAACTGCTGAAACATTGTGTTCATAACAACAAAGATGAGGACATTGGTCTTGATGTAAATAAGCATTATTATAAAAGAATAGCTGATTCTCTGTCCATCAACACAATGAGCTTCCGACCACATCACTTTGAAACACAAGTTTCCATATGATTACCAAAATTAAGCATCATCGAATATGGTCATTACTTAAATGGGTGACCATTTGGGAATACCAGGTGCTGTCATCTTGGATTTGAGGATGATCTAAGGATTAATAGTTTGGAATTGCTAATCAGAGAGCTGAGTTCCAATTCTTGTTGGGTTTGTTATATTCACTTACATACAAATGCCCTTGGGAAAGGTATGAATCCACCTATTCCCCCCAGCTATGGGTTAATTAGGAAGGCTTGTATCACTAAACCATTATTATCTCAAAAAAAAATTCATACAATCTAAAGCAAAAAATTATTTTCTGACTTTAAATAATCTGCCATGGGTTGATAAGCCATAAAAAATGAATCGGTCAATTTACATGCACATATGTAATGTGTATGTAAGTGTTATGCATAAGTGACTTACATGGGCTTGTGCCATTTAGTATTACAACAAGCATGCATACACAATTTGATTGAGTGTGAAATAAAATATTGGAACTATACATACCCACCCCCCTCTCAGTTCAGCTCTCCAAGTTTTTTGGTTCACCACTGCTGTAGCCTGGTATTGAACTCACAACTCTTTGGGTCTAGTCACTGGATCTAACTAACACCTTTATCCACTGGGCCATGTGTCCTTGAGGATCACCTGAAGAAGGCCGGAGCATACAATGGCCGAAATGTTATGAATATGGCAATGAAAATGAAGATAACAGTCCAAATAATGTAAATAGTGTAAATAATCATAATACCTCATCTCAGAGACATAGATATTAAAGTGTCCTTTTTGTTTCCATTTTCTCTAAAAATTTGTCATTGCTGACATATTTGGTCCATGGTATTCTCAGTATCCTTCTGTAGAACCACATTTTTGTTGCTTCAAATCTCTTCTTCGTCTGTGAGGAGATTGTCCATCATTCACTGCTATATAGAAGAACTGATATTACGTAAAAGTTTAGCCCCCTTTTCTTTGTTTCTAACAACATTTTTTTCTGTTTCTAATGCATGCAAATTAAATGGCAGAGAATCTTGAACTTACAAAAAAAACAACGCATATTACATAATGAAAAATTATGAATATTGCCTTCATATTTATATAAAATTGAAATTTCTCAGGAATTAATGGATTTTATTTATAATCCGACATTATTTCTCGTTACTTTAAGTGCTGTATTTAGTGATTACGCATGTTTGAGTAGATATCCCTATTTTTGAAACAGTGCAAATTTATGTCTACTGGCCTGTGTATTTGAGAGTCTTAATAATGGAAATATTCACTCTAGAAGAGCTCAAACCTGTGTCTCTAACATTTCAATTGGGGGAAAACTGGCTGGTCACATTCAATACCTTGAAAAACAAACTAGTTATATTCCATCATTGCTGATCGGACCCAGAACTATCACCAATCACAATGAATGGATATTTCCTCAGGGAGGCTCCATTCCTTGAGTGCCTATTGGGACCTAAACTCAACTTAGATTTCAAGTGGAACTCAGATGTACGATCCCTCACTAAAGAGGCAAGAAAAATGGTCAGTCCTCTGTACCACTCCAGTAAGTACCTGACTTTTCATAATATCCTCTACCTTTACAAGAGCCAAATCAGGCCAAAAATGGAGTACTGCTGCTTTATATGGGCAGTAACTGACCAGTCTTCATGTTCCTTTCTTGAAAGAGTTCAAAAGCATCTCCATGTCCTTGTTGGTGATAAATTATTTTCCACCTTATAACTCTATTCTTGCAGAGGTGAATTGTACAGAGGTGAATTTCATTGTAAAAAAAGAAAAAATATATATGTGTGACAGGCCATCCCAGGGATAAATACAAACATCCTAAATAAATTTCAGTAACAAAGATAGATCCACCTGCGGAAAGCGGTGTTGTAGTGTGCAGTCTATATGTGAAGATTAACCCTTTAGACATTGAGTCTCATTTGGAGTTTCAGTGCCAAGATGGCTCCCTTTTCACATGCCCTCATTTGGAACACAAAAAAAAAAAAAATTGATGTAAAATTACAAAACCCGGCAAGCTATCACAGAAACCACCACTGAAAGGCTTAGATGTGCAAGAAATGCAATAAGCAATCTGGTTGACTGGTCTTTATACCAGCTAGCTAATCTCATGATTTTATAATTGGGCCGACGAAACGGCCCAGTCATCTTCTTCGTTATTCAACTTTTCAAACGATAGGTCGGCCCTGTCACCTCCCTAAGCGTTAACTGACTTTTCTTTTCGTTACCTTAGAAATGGTTTCCTCTTTTAGGTGCCATGCATGAAACACGCTTGGATAGATGATGTCTCTTTTCGATTCATGATTGACTTGGCAGAAGAATTCTTACAGTAGGCGGTCTTTACTTTCTGTTGTAAACTGTTTGCCCAACCAAGGCTGTAGGATCCTATAAATCAGAGAAATGGATTCATACCTTTCCCAAGTGTATTTGGACATAAGTGAAAATAACAAACCTGACATGAATTTGAACTCAGCTCTCTGATTTTTCATTCCAAGCCGTTATGCATCATACAACCTGCACATTCAAGCTTACAGCACCTGGTAATTCCAAGTGGTCACTCATCTAGGTACTGAGCAGGCTCAACATTGCTTAACTTTTGTATTCAAATGAGAACTAGTGTTTCAATATGATGTTGCTGTAAGCTCAGGAAGGATTAATGTTTTGAATTAAGGATTTTTTTTAACTAATGTCCAACAATTTGAGATGAGGAATTATCATTGTTATACACTTTTATGTTTGGATTACTTTTGTTTTACTCACTATAATTGTGCCCTGTCAGGAGGGCTTAAATATACTGACTTGCAATGTTGTAAGAGCTCTCAAAAGAAACACCTAGCAAGTAATTTGCAATGTTGTAAGAGCCTCCAAAAAACACCAACACCTAAAAGAAAACAAAGTAAACAAAAGAAACTTCAAAAGAAACGCCTAGCAAGTAAACCCTTGCAATGTTGTAAGAGCTAAAAGAAACACCTGTTGTAAGAGCTTCCAAAAGAAAACACCTAAAGCAAGTAAACCCTTGCAATGTTGTAAGAGCTCTCCAAAAGAAACACCTAGCAAGTAAACCCTGTTGTTGTAAGAGCTCTCAAAAGAAACACCTAGCAAGTAAACCCTTGCAATGTTGTAAGATCAAAGAAACACCAGCAAGTGTTTGTAAGAGCTTCCAAAAGAAACACCTAGCAAGTAAACCCTTGTAATGTTGTAAGAGCTCTCCAAAAGAAACACCCTAGCAAACGTAAACCTTGCAATGTTGTAAGAGCAAAAAGAAACACCTAGCAAATAAAACCTTGCAATGTTGTAAGAGCTTCCAAAGAAAACACCTAGCAAGTAAACCCTTAAATATGTTGTAAGAGCTCTCCAAAAGAAACACCTAGCAAGTAAACCTTGCAATGTTGTAAGAGCTCTCCAAAAGAAACACCTAGCAAGTAAACGCTACGTTGTAAGAGCTCTCCAAAAGAAACACCCTAGCAAGTAAAACCTTGCAATGTTGTAAGAGAAAAGAAACACCTAGCAAGTAAACGCAATGTTGTAAGAGCTCAAAAGAAACACCTTGTAAAAGCTTGCAAAAAGAAAAGAAAACACCTAGCAAGTAAACCCTTGCAATGTTGTCCAAAGAAACACCTAGCAAGTAAAACCTTGCAATGTTGTAAGAAAAGAAACACCTAGCAAGTAAACCCTTGCAATGTTGTAAGATCTCTCCAAAAGAAACACCTAGCAAGTAAACCCTTGCAATGTTGTAAGAGCTCTCCAAAAGAAACACCTAGCAAGTAAACCCTTGCAATGTTGTAAGAGCTCTCCAAAAGAAACACCTAGCAAGTAAACCCTTGCAATGTTGTAAGAGCTCTCCAAAAGAAACACCTAGCAAGTAAACCCTTGCAATGTTGTAAGAGCTCTCCAAAAGAAACACCTCCAAAGAAACACCTGCAATGTTGTAAGAGCCTCAAAAAGAAACACCTAGCAATTAAACCCTTGCAATGTTGTAAGAGTCTCAAAAGAAACACCTAGCAAGTAAACGCTTGCAATGTTGTAAGAGTCTCCAAAAGAAACACCTAGCAAAAACCCTTGCAATGTTGTAAGAGTTTCCAAAAGAAACACCTAGCAAGTAAACCCTTGCAATGTTGTAAGAGCTCTCCAAAAGAAACACCTAGCAAGTAAATACTTACAGACTCATATATATAAATAAAAACCAATATTTACTCTTCCTTATAATAATTATTATTATATAATTATATTAATATAAATTAATATAATTAATCTCTCCTAATCCCTGTTCTGTCAACCATTTACACAAGCTTATTAGGTAGGTCATTTGTTGCTTTCTTCTGTTCTTTTTACCTTCAATATGTCTTGTGAGTGTCAAATTTTCTCTTTCTTCATTATGTACCCCAGAAATTTCAATTGTCTCTTTCTGATTCTAAGTATGTTTCCTTTTTCTTTCCATGTTCTCTTAAACTTCATCATTGCCCACATGTTCAGTCCATCCTCAGCATCCTTCTGTAGAACCACATTTTCATTACCTCAAGACTCTAGTTCATCTGGGAAGAGACTGTCCAACATTCACTGCCATATAGGAGGACTAATATTATAGGAAACTGACAAGTACTCGTAAGGAATAAAATTAAGTGATATTTTTCTGTAGACTTAATTATTATTCCTCTCATGATAGAAGAAAGAAAGCATTATTACATATACTTGAGCATAATGCAAGTTTTTATGATCAATGTTTTATGCAAAAAAATACAGGGTTACTATACACATGTAATTTTTTTGTTTTGAAGAGGTTAAAAACCATGCACTTTTGGTGATTGGTTGCACTGTAGACAGGGATTAAAATTCAGGCGTCATACTATACATGAAGTTGGCTTACATGCAAGTATATAGTATACTACAAAGTTTTTCATCCCCAGTCCTTTTCTTGGTTGTATGAATAACACCCTGAAGCTATCCTTTGAAGAAGCATAATATGATATGTCTTATACAGAAAATGTATACACCAATATCTCTACAGAGACTCTTCAAGATTTTCAGCACACTCTTAGCATTTCAGCTCATCCAACAGCAAAACTCTGACTGGAAAATGAATCCCAGAAAATCAACTAAGCTTTACTATTATTTTTAAGTTTTGATTTCAATGTCTCTTAATATGATATTCATAAAAAATATTGCACATGTATTTCATTTTTTACTGCAGTTGATTTGGTTTGTTTTATGGCATATCAACCTCAGTGGGTTATTTAATAGTGACAACATTTTTATTGCTGGTAATATTTTTTACCTTCCAAAATATATTTCTGGTAATATTTTTTCTTCAAAAATGTATCCCTGGTAATATGTTTTTTTTTCAAAAATGTATTGTTGGTAATAATTTTTTTACAAACTAATGCTGGTATTAAAACCTATTTTTACACTTTCATAGTGTTTTGACTCTACTTTTGGGGGTTAACTATTTGCCCATAGCTGGGACCCTAACAAGTGCTACCACCCCAGGTCATGGTGGACCTGGGAACACCAGCAATTAAGAGGTGGTTCCAAGCTCTTCAAAACATCCTGATCAGAAGCATGGCTGTTGGACATAGTTTATCGTCTTACCCAGGATGCAGATGTAGTTTATCATCATACCCAGGACGGACTGCCATTGATACTTAAATAATTATTTTACATTGTAAATGAACCAAATAAAAAAAAAAATCAATAAATATTAATAAAAAACAATTTTATCAAATTCACAAATTTTTATATTTATTTAGACTTATGTAATTTAAAATATATATATATATATATATATATATATATATATATATATATATATATATATATTATTAATAATAGAAATCTTATAAATATAAGAAACTATAATTATTTGGAAAACCTTCGGTGTCTTGGTTTACAAATAATCAAACCAATACCAAAGGGGAAAAAAGGTATAAAAAAAGAAAGAATGTGTACGTTAGCCGAAAATAATCATCAAGTATGCAAGTCCAAAGAAAAAAACCAAGATACGAATACGCAAAAAAAAATAAATAAAGTGCTCAATACAGTGAGTAGAGCAGACCTAGTTAAACCTCTTTAATTTTCTGTTCTCTCCTTACCTTTTTAGCCAGCCTTCCCTGACGATCTGCTTAGGTGAAACCTTGGTAGGTTTGTCTGGCTCTCGAGGTTTAACTATAAATATGTGTGTGTGTGTGTGTGTGTATTATGTCAATTAATCCAGAAATAAGAAGATTTAATTTAATATACAATTATGTAATATTTTCTTAATTAAACTAAATTAGTATTGTTCTAGTATTGTATTAGTATTGTTAAAATATTGTTTCATGAATTTGGTGGCAAAATAATCGTGGATCCAATCTCTGGGCTAGGTAGTACAGACATAGACTCAGGGAAAACAGTGCTAGCAATAACTATTGCAGTACTGAAAAAACCAAGCAAGAGATACCCTTAGACATGGACAGCAATCTACCCCTATAAATTAAGTGAAGAATTTAGTTTAAAATTCCCTAAGTTTATCCAGATTGACAGGTACCTCAAGAAGTTTACAGGTTACAACAGCCAAAAAGTCATGATAAGGAAAACAAAGATGTGGACATTAGTCTGAATGTGAATAATAATATATAAAAAAAATATATACAGATGAATCATAGCTCTCTCTGCATCATTTCCAAATAACTTACATATTTAAAGCACAACTGAACTACCATCTGTCTACATTTAGTGAAAATTTCAGCAAAAAATTGATCTTAGATTTTCTAAGCTATCAAAGTTTTTCATTTTTGTTCCTTAATTTTGGATGCTACTGTACGTTAAACTAACTTAAAAACCACCTTTGAAACTTTTATTTTTATCTAAAACTAGCAGTAGAGCCCGGCGTTGCCCCGGGATGTAACAGTAAGAGATAGATCAAGTATCGACCATCATAAAGACTGAAAAATAAAATTGAGAAAGATTGTTGTTTAAGGTTGATGGACACGCATGTTTTAATTAGTTTTTTTTTTTACAAATTGGTCAAACTCAAACAAAAACATTGTTTTCAATCGTTATGAGTCTACTGATTGAATAGAATTTTATTATAAACAATTGTCTTGTAAATGGAATTTTTAAAGCATTCTGAATGTAAAAATAAAGAAAAGTGTGTAAGACAATAAGAAACACTACCTGCTAAAAAAAAAGTGAAGTTTTGTTAAAATCGGTTGAAAAATGTAGGAAATCCGGTCCAATATATAAACGAACACACACAAACAACCTGGGTTTTATAATAAGTATAACTTGATATGAGTTGTCCCCCTTTCATTCTCGCGATGACTCTTAATCATGTTTTCAAATTGATTTCGTGCAAAAACAATTGTGTTTTTCCAATTTTTGGTGCTGTCAGAACCACCGCAAGGTAATTTTACGTAGTCCTGTGAAGTTTTGTTGAAATCGGTTGAAAAATGTAGGAAATCCGATTCAATATATAAACGTACAGACACACACACACACACACACACAACCTGGGTTTTATAATAAGTATGATTACCAAAATATTTGCAGATTACTGACTTTTAGAAACATTTTAGCAATTATAGAAACTGACTGAAAACATATGAAACACATTGATATTTAGGAAAGATGCAAATTCATACGTTTAATCT